AGATTATTTTTATGTGACATGTTTGGAAGTTAGAAAAAAGATTGGAGATATGGAAGTAGAAAAAAAAAATCTTTGTATAAAACTTTGCGATTTATTTAGTGATTTTAGGAAAAATTTATATTATGGCTATAAAGATAGAAATTCAAATTTTAAATTATGGTTGTCATTATGAAAGGATTAAGAACTATGATAGAAAAAAATTGGTGTAATTCTTCATAGTAAGACTGAATCATGAATAAAATAGAGACCAATTGAAAGAAACTCTTTTAAAGATCAATAAAGATTTTTTCGATTTCTGAAGAATACTCTTATAGCATGGAAGTACAAGGATGCAAGTGAGTCTTTTATCTATAAACTCTCCAATGTAGATAGTTTTGAGTGTAGATTTTTGGATTTAACAACTTTGGAGGTTTTTAGATTTCAAAAGATTAGTGATTTAAGTCATGTATATAAAAATTGAGTAAAAAAATATGAAAAAAATTTAAAAAGATTAGATGTTATTTCAAGTAGTAAGTTTATTTTGGATGTTATTGAAAAAGAAGGATTTGAAGATGATTACATTAAGGTTTTAGAAGAATTGGCTTTGTATATGGATGGAGGTAGAACTAATATTGTTGTAGAGCTTTATTCAAGGCAAATATATGAGGATATTTTGAAGATTTTAAGGAAGCTTAGAATAGTTGATAGTCATGTGGTATTACAAGAGACTATTATATATACTAAGTATAAAACTATTGCCAAAAAGGTGAAGCCTGTGGCAGCCCAATTACCTCAAGATTCCAAAAATTACATCAAACAAGCTACTATAGAGTTGGAATTAAAAGAATCAAGAAGAGTAGCTCATAAGTTTACTAAAAAGTCTTTAGAGAAGTTGAAGATTAGAGGGGGTGATTTTTTGGCGGAGGTAGAAAGAGATAGAAGTTTTTAAAGATAATTTCTAAACATGATAAGACTATTGCATATACATCCAAAGAAATTGGTTGTATAGATCCTAATATAGTAGTACTTATAGTTATTTTTACCATTTTTCATGTATTTTGGAATTTGAAGCCTATTTCAATGCTTAAATTTTTTTTTCTAAATTAATAGATTTATTAAAAAAAAAATCAAGATAGGCATCTTCAAACTATTAGTTGCACCTTACTTCAATTCATGGTTTACTATGCCAAAGAAGTTTGGGGTACCTAGATTCATTCAAGATATGCAACCAATAAATAAGATAACTATTAGAAATTTAAAGGTCTAGACTAGTTTGGCTTTCTAAATATATGATATCATGTTATGTAAAAATCAACATATAAATATATTAGATATTTGATTGTAGAAAGATTTGATTTTATCTTGAAGTTGGATTTACAACCCAAAAAACAATGCATAAGGTCTTTAGAAACATCTTTTTGGCAAACTTAAGGAACTTAAATAAGCCTCCAATCATCCTAAGTATTCTTCATTAATTTTAGAAAATTCTAAAAAAAACTTACCATACTCTAATCAATTCAAAATAAATCATAAATAATCTTAAATAATTCTAATTAAATCCAAAAAAAACATAATCATTCTTAAGAAAATCAATACATAAGAAAATTACTTTAATCCAATTGAAAAATTACTCAAAATTATAGAAATCTATACTTACATTTAAAATATAATTTTAATATCCTAATTTACTTAAATTTTAATTATATTTGATTTGAGCATCTAATTAAGCTCATTTTATAGCATATGTCTAATACAAATATATTTACAAATTCATAAAACTTTATCCATAGATCTGCTACAAAAATCACGTAATTTACCAGTATATATATATATATATTATTTTATAAAAGAAAATCATCAAAAACAATCCAAACTTTGCAAAGTTCTCACAAAATTATTATCAACTCATATCTTTCAAAATAAATTTTCAAAAAATCTTATTAAGTCTTTCTTTAACCTTGCTTTTGAATCAAAAAAAAAAAAAAAAAAAAAAAAAAAAACTCTTATTTGCCATAGATATACAATATTTTGTCTCAATGTCTGGTTTCAACCCTATTTTATAACCAATCCTCTTGAAGTATAAATCTAAAGCTTTTCTAAGTAATTTTTGCTAAAAGCTATTCTTTACTTTTGTATAAATATATCCATAATATTAGTTTTGCTAACCTATTTTGTTTTTGTTTTGTTTATGATTTTAAAAAATAGATAGAAGTTTTTTTTTTTCTTATTCATAAGAAAGCAAAATTAATATTATATTATTTTTACTACCTCTTTAACTTTAATCAATGTTTTAAAAGTAATTTTATATTATACTTTTAGTTAATCTCTTCTATAATGTAATTATTTTATTTATTTATTTATTTTTATTCAATAGTTGTGTAATAACATGACAATGGTATTCAGTAAGTTTTGAATAGATCATCTATGAAGATAAAATTCATCCTTTAACTCAAATCACAAGATGTCTTTAATTTAGATTATTTTTATTTTTATTCTTATAAATAGTGGTATTAAGTAAGAACTACAATAATAAATAATTAAAAAGAAGAATGACAAAATATATGAAAAAGACAATCAAATAAATACAAATTCTAAAAACTTGTGACAATCTATTAATTGAATTTTAATTTGATAAAAAAAATTAAAAATTAAATTAAAAATACATTTTTATATAGGTAATTCTTTTGTCTTTTCAATTATATAAAAAAAACATGTAAATTTAAATACTACAAGTTATTATAGTTTAAAGATAAACATTAAAAAATAAAAAAGTTTGGTTATAAGATTTTACCTCAAGGATCAATTATTTAAGTAGTTAAAAATTTGAGCCTCACTAAGGCTTGTAAGTAGTAGATAAGGTGTTTTAAAGGGGTTGCAAAGATTTAGTCTTATCTTACTACCTACATCTAAGGTGTTACAACCATATAAGATATATGTACATACATTTCTACTATTACTATTCCAATTGTTGGTCATCCTATTTTCTACTAATAAAACAAGTTTTCTTTCAATTTTTAATTCATCAAAGTATTCAAGAATACTTAATTAGTGTGGGAACCTAATAAGGCTTGCACGTCTTGTTCCAATTCTTTATAATAGCTTCCTAAAGTGATAAAATTATTTTTACCAAAATCTTTAAAATATATTCTAAAAAATCCTTATAAATTCTATATAAATTATAAAAATATTTTTTCATGTTTTTAAGATTCTAATGTGTAATTAATACAATTTTATCTGGTCTTATTGATTTTTGAAGTAAAAAAATCAATTTAAATCACATCAAAATCATAATTAATTCTTAAATAATTAAATAGTCATGATATTTTATTTTCATGCTTCTTTTTCCTAATAACTAATATATTTATAAGTTTTATAAATTTTAATCAAGATTTAGAAGGTCTAATAAAGAATAAATGTGAAAAAAAGACTAACAAAGATATTTGTTTTAATAACCAAATATTTATTATTACAAGTAAGAGAAAAATATACTTAAATTAATTAAGATAATTATCTCTAAAACCTACGAACATTCTATTTTTATAATTTTTTTATTTCACAAGACTTTTCTAACTTATAAGACCTTCTAAATCTTATTTAATATTTATACAACCAGATAAATTCTTAAATCTTCATATATTTATCTTTAAAAAACATTAAAACATTGATTTTGACAATGTCCTTAATTAAAATGCATAGGTAGGACTCACAAATATGTATTTTTTCAAAAAAAAAAAAAAAAAAAAAAAAAAATCAAAATGGTTCTTAAGAGAATCAACTTTTTTCTTAAATGTTAAATTTATGACCAATCAAGTGATTTTATAATTTTAATTTTTATAATCTAGTACAACATTATTGATTGTTATTAAGTTATCATTATTATTGGTATTTGTTAAATAAAAAAAAAAAAAATTAAAACTTTAAGAAATAATTCCAATAACAACTTCTTATATTTTTTTAAAATAGCTTTACAATATATTATTTGTAATTCATAAAAGAAATTTGAAGTAGAGATATAATTTACAAAATCTATTGTTAAAGACAAAATTTATCTAAACCAACACAGTCAATCTAGTCCAACCAAATTTAATAATAGAGAAACTTAAGTAGGTTGTACGAATTAATGATATGTTGAAAAAAAATTACATTTTAAAAATTAGGTCTTAAGAATTTGTTGTAAAGAGCGAGATAAAGGAAGAAGGCATAGAGGGAGACTGAATAGAGAAATTAAGATATATCAATACATTGTAAATTTAGAAGATAAGAAAGAGAGAAAGAAATAAATAATTAGAGTATGGAGAAGAAAAGAAGCCAAACATAATCGTATCCCATTAGGGCATCAGGATTATGTACAATCTTCTTGTAAGATACACATTTTTTAGTAAAATCAAAAAAATTGCAAAATACAAAGTCAATTTATGTTACAAATATGTTTTGTTTAAGTCATTGTGTGTACCTGAATATTGTGAATTCAAAGTAGTATTAAGAAGCAATCTTATTACTTAACAAAATATAAGTTTCAATAATGGCACTAGTAAAAAGTTGATGTATTTTTATTACATGATGTAGATTTTGGATTTAATCTATTAGTTGTATAAGAAATCACACTGGAACAAACAATTCTATATTTCATTGCTACATTCTATTGTTAAAGATGAAATTTCCAAAAGAAATCACAAAAAAATAAATTCTATGGGCTCTTATTTAAACATGAAGTTATAGTTTGATAAAAACATTTGTAGAAACAAGTATGAGCCTGTTTTCACAAAATTCTATATCTTCAAAAATAGATGGAACAAAAAATATCCCATTTAAATAGTTAAGATATTTTTTACATAAAATTTCATAAACAAGGGTCATTAATCACTTCTTTCAATGTTAACTCGCTCTCTTTCAAAACCAGTTTCAACGAAGTTTATTCCTTTATCGCTTATTCAATTTACCTCAGTAAAGGATGTTTTAAGAAAAAATCACACCTTTTCAGTCGAACATGAAATTTTCAACTTTCTGCACTCTGCACAATGTTTTGAGAATTCCAAATTACTAAAATTTTACCAAAAATGCATCAGCAAATGAGATACATCATTTCAATAGTGGTCTAAATTGACTATTTACAAATCCACACCAAAATCGAAGACCAAAGTTCTTCCGAAAATGCAATTTTCTGATGTGGAAAGATATCCCCATTTCAGAATAGTTCTAACTTTGCATATAAAACCGCATAGATTTGTGCATGGTTCTCTACCAACATGCTGTGAACTTGTGTGCGTTCAATGTCTGCTCTTCGGGATTCAACACTTGCTTCGGCGTATGGCTTTCGCACTTGATCGTAACGTCTATTACTTATCAAACTTTGCATTGATTTGTAAGGCTACATTACAGTTCTGGACGAGAACCCATGTGAACCTTGATTTGTGAAGCTACACAGTTGTAATCTTTGATTGCTTGTGCAGGGCGACTCACAGGAAGAGTACTGGAAAGCCCTTGGCGAGATTGCGTTGCAATACAGTATAAGATTTGTCGGAAGAGTTTTCATGTTGCGGTGACACGATTCCCGCAAACCCTTCTGGATGAGATCGCTGCGAGCATACGAGAGTGTTGAGGGGATTGTGTTGAAGACCAACTGAAAGCTGATGAGGAATTTGTGAAGATTGATTGAATTCATGCACTATCTTTGTCAAGACTTACGCACCGTGAATCGATTCAATCGCTAAAAATCTCTTTCTTGGGAGAAAGGGCGAACGGAATTGAACAAAACTCACCAAGGAAAAAAGGTGCCAGAATAGAGCCAAGTTGACTGGCGGATTTGGGGTTTGAACAAGCTACTCTCCTCTCATTGCATTCAACATGGCCGACTACGTCCTCATAATTACAAGAAATCATGCGCTGTTGGGTGCACGCGACGGCAAGTGTACAGGATGAGAACCCCCTGATCACAGATGCACCATCGCGAATACTCCTAATCCCCTGTGCAATGGATCAACGCCTAGGAATTTTGAATTTCAAGATGAAGGTCACGAAGCTGCGCGAGAAGACGATCGATTGCCAGTGCTTGCAAACGCAACTGGCCCGAACAGCTTCCTTGATGGGCAATCGAGCGAAGATTTGCTCCATAATCTCCTTGCTCAAAATCCCCCAATCCACATAGGATCCTGCCACTTCAGCGTCAGCCTCATAAGATTTTGAGTACTGGAGTTCCATTGGCAACCCTACGTGCAAGACATACTCGTACATTGCTAACTCCGAATGGAAGAATCACAATAAACACAAGAACCAAAACCAAGGGAACAGATTGGGCAGGAATTTGGATCAATGCTTAAGGTATCGACACTGGATATGGCGAATCAGAGAGAAAGAGAGAGAGCGAGAGAGAGAGAGAGAGAGAGAGAGAGAGAGATAGTGCTGAATCGTGATGGAAAAAAATCTCCAAAGCGAGTCGATGGAACGATCTGAGACCAGGACTAACAATGCTCTAAAAAATTGTGTAGGATTGTAACCGATCGCAACCAACTATAGAGAAAATAATGTTAGACATGCTAGCTGAGAAAGAAAGAAAGAATGAAAGAGAGAGACCGTGAGAGCGTCCACTAAGGCGTCAATCGATTACCTCAAGAGAAAAACAGGGTGCAAATGAGACTGACATCCAAATCTTACGTGCCTCACATTCAGTCTTTACCACTGATTGCACCCCTCAACAATACAAGCTGCCCATTTGAGACGTACAAAAGCCACAAATCTGCAAGGGTTACAAAAGAAAAGAAAAAAAAAACATGGAAGCGAGGTCTAAATTAATCCTGACTACACCATGGTTGCAAAAGCAATCATCACCGACTCCACAGCACCGAAGAAGTTCAATGCATAATTCTCACCACAGATCACACTCAAAACTTAAGATCAATGCCCGACACTCTAACCCTCTAGCCAACTTCAGAACTGCATGTCTAGCGCACAACACATGTGGTAGGGAATAGGTTTTTTTAACTATTCAGGACTCGACTGAAGTCCAACTATCCCATGCAACTTGCAAGCGATGCTTTATGGTCTGAGCTGATCTTGCGCATCGATAAGAGCAGTGTCCAGGGACGAAGAATGTTTGGATTCGTCAGAGGATTCACGGCCATATATGGCAAGCCGCGAAAAAGGTGGGCCACAATCTTTCCCAGTGGACTTGCCATGTCTCGTGCTGTCAGGTTCCATTTGTGGTTCCCTTGGGAGGATGTGGGTCGCGATTCTGGGCGATCTGATACACACGCCTTTTTAAAAAACTCTTCGCCACTTGTGGGTACTGAGGAACAATTTATTAGTGCCCATTTCATGCAAACGAATGATGCCATACTCTGTAGATCGAATTGAGGAGCGTACTGGATCTCGCTACGGTCCAAGCGCCGGTCCTTGAAATTGATCTCAATAATCTATCCGATTGGCAGACGGATACGATTCTCACCTCGACACAGAAAAACGAACCTTGCAACTCACACTGAATCTTCGTAATGTCGGATTTCGAGTCTCGGGGGGAGAAATTCTGTTCTCTTCAAACGCATCCTTGCAACTGATGGCTCACCTTTACAGCGTCGAATATCCTTGATTCGGACCTGACCTACTAGACCTGGAAGCCTAGGACGGAGCTGCGAACGCGGCAGCGATGCGGTGCATCCTCGAACTTCTTCGAGAAGGCTCGTTAACATTTCCAGATAACTCGGCTTTTTATTTGTGGACGAGAACCGTTGTCGGCATGGAAAGCAGGGTATTGGCTGCTGCGGAGCTCCTCTGTAGGTGGACCAACCATAAATTTGCTTAAAACATCACATGTCATGCTCAACTGTGACTTAAGTGCTGAGATTCTAGTTTCTATATCGTTGTTCGGCAACTGGGTGTCATTGTTGAAGTGTAGCTTCGGTGGTTTCTGAAAAGCCTGTTTGGAACTGCCTAGTTCGGCAACTACAATGTCTAATAGATATTTGCCCATGTCTTGCTTGATATTTGTTTTCACAAGCGCAATTTCTCACATTGGGAGTACTATGATAGGCCGCAACACAACAAGATGGGATTTGTGTGTCTGCGTTCCACATCAGCATTTGCATTTAACATTGATTTATTGTTCATATATATATATATATATATATAGATTGTGTTTTTATTATTGTAGTTGTGTCTTGTATTTTTGTTTCCTTGATATAAATGAAGTATGGCAGGCTTGTCTATTGTTTATTGTTTAGAATTGCTTCCATGAAGATTTCAAAGGGAAGCAAGGTTATATTTTTGTAACATGGTGTGCATCCTATGTGGTGAGAAATTAGAATATTTGGTAGACAATCTTCAAAGAGGTTCAGTAGTTTTCATATTTATTTGAATGGAATTGAAATTATTTATGTATTTGATCAAATTTTAGTAAAGCAATGCTATTGTGCATATATTTACATATTTATGCTCATTACCTATTTGATTTGATTTGATTTGATTTTTAGCTTATATATATCATGCCACATATTAAAAAGCAAACATATTATTATATTCTATAGAATGACATAAAGTAAGTCAAGTAATATAAATAAATTTTAATTTAGTAATAATAAGAGTTTGAAGGATGACAACTTTAATTATAGTAGAACATTCAAGACAAAGAACATTGATTTTTGTGTATGCATATGTACTTTTTTTCAATTCAATAAAATAAAATCTTATATAAAAATGACTCAAAAGATAAGTTGGTTATGTTATTTATGTTAAATACTAATTTTATGTATATTTTGGTGTTAAATCAATATTATTTAATTATATGATATTTTGATTCTGTATTCTAAAGATTATTAACTATATATATATGATATTTAGTTAAAGTAAATATTTTAAAATAATTATTCTTATGATAAAATAATAACAAAATAATAGAAATTATTATTTATGATTACATGATATAATAGATAAATGCACAATGTACTATAAAAATAAATAAATAAATAAATAAAATCTTATCTCAATTACAAAATTTGATATAATTTTTTTTAAAAAACTAATACTTTGATTATAAAAAAATAATTTTGATAAGACTAAGATATTTTCAAAGTTTAATATTTATTTTTGTATTAAATATATTTTAAGGGCATAGTTTAAACATCATATTTACACATAATCAAAAAAGATAAAAGACTAAGAAAAATTATGCTAAAAAAGAATGTACCGAAATAAATATTGTTGAATATAAAATTTTCTAAATGTTTTTAACTGATATTGGAGTACAAAAAAAGCATTTACAAGACTAAAAATGTATTTATCTTCTCTCTTTATATACTAGCTAATAAGAGGCTATGTAGAAATTGTATAAGGACCATAATATATATAAACCAGTGCTTGAAGTTTATGATGCTTTTATTGAGAATTCTTACATGTAATTTTTATTTTATTTTAAAAAGCCTTTATAACGACTTAGTACATCTAAAAACATCTAAAGATCTAATTTATGTTTAGAAAACTTCTTTACTTAATATCGTGTTCAGGTTTTTTTCTATCAATTTTTAAGATTTTAGAAGTTACTATAGATCTATCTTATAACTTAAATATTTATTTTTATAAAATATTAATATATTAGATAGATAATATCTTTTTTAAAAATATTATAAAAAATTTAAATGTAAGTTAGAAGTAATTTAGAAATAAATAAATTCAATCCAAATAGATAAACTTTTAATCTTCATAAGTATTACAAATTTGTATTTGTATAGATTAAAGTATGTATATAGTCATCTTTCTTAGAAAATATTTTTTAAACACAATGGTGAAGTTAATTTAGCTACAAAAGCATTTCTAGGACTCATTTGATAACCATCAACTTTGACTTTGGATTTTGATTCTTAAATCAATGAAGACAGTGGATCTTAGTTTGAACTCTTTGGAATTAAAGGATGGAGATGTAGTTGCCACCTTTAGGTTTTAGAAAAAGAGTATAAGAGATGCAAATATAAAAAAATACAATTTTACAAATATAAAAATCTAAGAATTTGGAGTTTTGACAGAAAAAAAACATCCAATTTTCTAAAGAGTGATTTATTGCCTTTATAGAGTGCTAGTTCTATTTTGGAAGGCTCATATTCATTGCTTACAAGCAAAAAAACTATAATTTTTTTTTTTTAAAGAAATGATAAAGTCAAGTTTCTAAAAATCTAATAATTAATTATATTGGAGCATAGATATAATAAGAGTGTTTAAGTAGCAAAGTAAAGTCACAAAATAGGAAAACAAGGATAGAAGGAACTATGCAATTCAAGGGCTCAAATTTTAAGAGAAGATGTCATTTGAAGTCAAAATTTTAGTAAATTTGTATTTTTCTTAAAAATATTAATAACAAAAAAATTATACTTAATTTTGTACAAGGGAGTTTGATGCCTTGTCAAATTAGATCATGAATATTAAGGAATAATATTGTAAACATACAACCAAAGTTGAAGGCAAAAATTAGAATATAAATGCATCTTCAAGTCTTATTTCTAACAAGACTAGTAGGATTCAATTTGGAGCTTGAGATTATCTATGGTATATTAATTTATAGAGACAGGTGCAACAATAGGTTTAGAAGTGCAAAATCCCTTATGTTCTTACTTGGATGATGTTATAAGTCTATTCATTAGTTATTATAAATGAATCTTAAATAAGAGGATAGAAAAGATATAAAAGCCAATTTGGATGAATAATTAAATCAATGGATGATTTCTTTAAATAGAAGTAATATTTGGATGACGTTACTAATTAAGATATAGTATATTTTTTAGATAAAAAATTAAAATAACATTTAATGTATAGATTAGATGAATATAGATTAGATTATATTAATGAATATATAAATCTATATTATTAATAGATTAATAACTTAAAATTTACTACAATGCATAGTGATTAATTTAGGCTAATTAGTTAATATTAATTTATATGTGGAATTTTTAGATATATAATTGGATGCACTAAAAACCTTTTCACATAGAACATAGAAATAATATACAACATCAAACTTCATTAGTATTATTAAACACTATCATTTTGATTTGAAGAAAGTAGATACAACTTGATATGAGATTTTTTAAAATAATCACTATCTTTATAAAATAGAACAAAATTTTAAAACCAAGTCTTTTAATTTGATGATATTATTAAAAATAATGAAATTTTACATGTAAAGTATGGATAAAATATTTTGAGTTATAAATACTCAATGAAGTAGCTATTATTTTAGAAAAAATTAATTAAATATTTTTTTAATTAACACCAAAAATTAAAAAATTAAAAATTAAAAATATAAGATTAAAGAAGAAGATTTAAAATTAATAGACATTAATAGGGACAAAGTACAAACCTTTTAGGAATTAGAAAAGGACATACAAGCAAGTTAAATCAATGTCATCAATCAAATATTTGATGAAATCTCTAAAAATTATTAAGAAATATTAATTAAAAATAAAATAGTATAATTACAATCATCCATAATATTATATAATTAAGATCATTTTTTAAATTTTAAAAGTACATAAAATAATATTAAATTAATTAAATTTCTTAAAATCTAGTCATAAAGCAATAAAATACTTCATTGCTATAATTAATAATTACAAAGAAAATATTTAAAAATTTATGTAAAAAGATGAAAATTTTTAGAGCTTACGGAGAGGTATTAAAGGCTGAGTCTATTTTATGGCTAAACTTAAAATATTTTTTTCAAATATATCAAGATGTATTTTTCATGTTGATTGTTACAACTTATAAAAAAATTAGAATTTCTTTGTATTTCTATATTTTAAGAATAAAAGTAAAAATAATATATATATATATATATATATATATATATATATATAAAAAATTAAATATCAAATGCTAAAAATAAAATTAAGCATTTTTGAAACAAAAAATATTATGTTTTAAATATCTTTATTTAATTTAAAATGTAGTAGTTTAATTATCTCTTTTATTTATGCATAGAAAATTATATTTTTCTTAAAAATCTATTACAATATAGATCTCAACTTGAATTAATTGGTGAAAATTTTAATTATATTAGATAACTAAATATGATTTTTATTAGAAACTTGTTAAATCTTTAATAATTTTTATACATTTGCAAAGATCTAAACTTTATCTTTAAAAAGAAGTATGGCAAATGTATAGTGGATATTAGAAGTTAAAAAATTCTATAAAATAATTTTAGAAATAATTTTTTAATTTTTTTAAAAATATATTATAAATTGATCCAAATGGCACTTAGATATCTTTTTAAAAGTCAACTGTAATACTCTTAGGAAGCAAAAATAAATTCTAAAATTTTAAAATTTATTATTAATTTTAATAATTAATTAACTATTTAATATAAATAAAATAATCATACTAATATTCTTATTTTAGTTTTTTTCTTATATATGATCTTTCAATTTTCTATTCCTATATATACACATTTTCAGTTCTATTTTCATTCTACATAGATTTTCTTCAAGTTTCCTAAACTTTCATTGAGATTCTTCAATTCACCTAGCTTCAAAATCTCCTTATTTCAATCATTCAATTTGATCTTTGCTCATAAGCTTCTTTT